AAGATACCATAAACCACACATGCTTAATTTTGTTCTATTTTATTTACAGTTTCTGAAGGGACGTCGACTAAATATTGTGTGGTTTCACCGCGTTACCATGAAATCCATGAAATCTAAGCTTAGAATAATATTGCTAATATCCTCTTGAATAATATTTTTATTGTTTTTCTTGTGTTTTTGACTGAATTTGATAATGAAACACCTTTCGTAAATGATTATTGAATGTTTTTTTTTTCAGCATTTGGAATGTATAAAGCCAAATGCATGTATTCATGTATCTTCATGATTACCATTTAATTGAAAATAAGTAATCGACAAAGTCCTAACATATAAAAATCCCCAGTTGAATATACATTTATATAATATTTTAGAACGTTCATAGTTGAAAATACATGCATGCATAAATCATACACAATCATTTGTGAAATAATTATGTAACACAACCATTTCTAGTAAAATCACATTTGTCAATAAATGAGTCCCTTATAGACTCAAAAGACTGCGACGCGTCTGCCAGTATCCTTTCGTTATGCAGTGTATTTTTCATGAATAAATAATTACCGAACGACAGGTATCCTCGGACACAGACTGTTTATTGTCTTTGTTATTTCGTTTAAATTTTTGTTGGCCACTTTTGCAGGCCAGGTTATCCTCAATACTTTCTAAGACAGGCATTAGATATGGAACTTGATAATTTGTTTATGTCATTTTTAGATCTGTCATCCTTCAGCTCTCAACACCATACATTAAAACGGATAATACAGAGTTGTAAAACAATTTGATCTTAGCGTGTCCACTGATGCTATTCGTTTTTTTTGTAGGATCCGCTGGCTTTAAATAATCTTGTTTTAATGTCCTTGTCAGCAGTGCCATCTGATGTCACTACACGTCCAAGATATGTAAAGTTTGATGTGTATTTAATGTCTTTTTCCATTCAGCTGTCTTTTGGTTGGACTTTCTGTATTCAAGGTCATAACTGCTGATTTCTTTAAGTTGATTTTCAAACCAATTTTACTGGCATTTATTTGTAAATTGGATGTTTTTCTTTGCATTTGTGACTACAGATGATGTATTAGAGCCAGGTCATGTGCAAAATTTAAGTCTTCTAGACATATAGCTAAAAAGAGCCTAACTGATGCCGGCGTTGTCTCCACTGAGTGTTGATCTCATTACCCAGTCTACTGCGATGGTGAATAATGGGGTTGACCTTACACATTTTTCCCTTGCACCCGATTTCACAAGAAAGCTCGTGTTTTGCATAAATACCATAAGAACATATAAATTCTGCACATAATGCTTTTATTGGGTAAACAAGTTTGGATGCTTACTATGATAGTGCCTTAGGATCCTCCACAAACGGTCTCTGTGAATTATATATAAAGCTTTTTAAAGTCAAAGAAATTTATGATGTGTTGTCTTTGTCATTCCGTGCAATGTTCTGTTATGTTTTTTTTTTTTTAAATATAAACACTTGGTCCAAGCAGTTCTTTCCTTAACTGAAGCCTGCAGTTCTTTCTTTTTGTTGTCCAATGCTGTTAAAACCTATTTTACTAGAGATCTTGCTTTGTATAAGTTATGTCTCTATACAGTTGATATAGTTTGTGAGATATCATGTTTTGGTAGTTGATGTTGCCTTCAGACTTTGTTGTTTGTCTAATTTGATAATTTCTTTACCAGTTTGCTTTTTACAGGTAGAGTATACAGGTATAAATTTGCAGTCCTTCACCGGCAAGTGGTGGCGTTTCAAATACAGAAATATGCTAATTTTGCTCTTATATAATCTGGTATATATGCTCTATTTGTTTTTAAATCGCGATTCGACTGAAAAGTTTAAAGAAAATAACATGCAAATGTTTTCAACACTATACATTTTCGATAAATGTAGAGATGAAGTATTAACTTTCAAAATAAAATCGGAAAGTATGAATGACATATTTTTTTCATTAAAATCGGAAACAGGAAAATTAGATTACAGAACTTTTCAATCATTCATATTTATCCAAAATACTGAGTTTGAATCAAGGAAATACAGAACACAAACAAGTTTTAGAGGATACATGAAGTATATTTTTTAAGAATGATAGTAATCGTTCTCTTCATTATTCTGTATAATTTCAAGAGATTAGATGGAAACTGTGAAGGGTACGTCATTCTTATTTTTATACAATAGGACAATCATAATCAACTCCTGGAAGTACTTTATCTTTTAGTTGACAGCTTTTGTATTTTTAAAGTTATGTCCACTCATTATTTGGTACTTCCTTTTCATATGAAAATTGAAGACTAGAATTTCTTCTTTTATCTTAAATATTTTGCCCAAGCAAGCAATGCAAAGTCATGTAATTTTTGGATGAGATGTATACTATCACTTTGTTTATTATGCTGTCTTGTTTTTACTTGTAAGAGAGGACGGAGTCAGCTGCTGTTCAGGTTTTAAACGGGATGCTGTAAGCAATCAATGCATCGGCAAGTGAACTCTTTGTTTTTAGTGAACCAACTTTTACTCACAACTTTGTATGCAATGAAAAGTAGATAAATGTTGATTTTAGACTCGCATAATGTTTTCGAGCGACGCTATTTGATTTCAATTATAGTAAACAAAACTTAATTGTCCTTAATTGCATTTTCTTTACTCCGAAGGAAAGCTTACAGTCAAATGAAGAGCATAATTTTTGTTATGCGTCATTTATTGTTTATTTCAAAATTATCAACAAACTGAAAATATTTAATTAAAAAAAAATATGCAACAGACATTTAAATTTCATACCCGTATTTAATTATTTATGATTAAAAGAATGCACTGTGGGGTATTTTGGAATCAACTGTTCCCAACAGTGTCCCTTTCCAAGTTATGGGCGACATTGTCAGAAAGAATGTGATTGTTCTTCAGATCTTTGTGATGTGTCCAACGGATGTCTTGACACAGGAAGTAATTTGCATTGTACGTACTATAAAGCATGAACTCAGATTTATCTAATTTTTTTTTTTTTAAAATTTCATCCATCGGTCCAGATTACAGTGTACAATGTATGTATATACTTAATACGTGTGAAGTATTTATCTTTAAAAGTTTACTCTGATTGATTTTTTGACAGCATCTCCAGAAGTATCCAAAATAATATACAATTTGAAACCATTAACAAGAAGACAAAATAAGACAAATTCATCATTTGGAGAAACCAATTATTATCCTGCAACATCAACTTCAATTTTAGTAGTAATGTATACAAGCAAAAAGATATCTCAAAAGGATTCAAAAAACATTCAGTATACAGTCTTAGGTGATATTAAACCAATCCTCTATGCGATGTTCTCTGTCATTTTGCTATGTTTCACGCTAATTGCTGCGTACATCATCAGGAAGAAAATCAGAAATTCGCAATGCAATAAACATCAGGTGGATGGAGATGGAAATGTACACGATACTGGTATATACCAGGAAATAAACAGCTACAATAGATTTAATGAAAGTATTTCCTATAGTGTGTGCAGGGAAAATAGTGAAGAGGCGTTAGAGGAAAGGTCTGAATCAGTTGAAAACCAAGTTGAATTTGAAAATGATGGGGGAAAAGTGTTTACTCGGGACAACACGGAAGTTAAATCAACAAGTGTGTTTTGACCATATTCAATTTACATAATCATGGGAAATATAATTTGACATACATCTTTGTTTTGAGATATAGAATGATACCTATCACAATTGATTGCTAGACTTTTGTATAATGACAATTTTAATCCTTTGTACATATATACTTCTTGTCAAGTATTGTTCTCAATATACGAATAAAATGTGTATGTTATTTTTCAATAACTTTGCTATTTCCAAAAAAATTAGATTTTCTTTGTATATTAAAACGTAAAATTAATTATCATAGTTCATTTTGTTCATTTACTGGTAGTAGTCAGACCTTTAAATTATTGTCCAAAGCGGGTTATCTCTGCTGATAGCAATACCTTAGATTACAAATGGCTGCCGTTCTCAAGGTATACAAATGTTTTGAATTTTAAGAGAGATCAATTTTAGTCTTTTTTTAATTAAAGAAGACTTTCTTTTTTAAGGAAATGAGAGTCAAAATATACATATTTATGAGAAGATGCACATGGTGTAGATTATAAGTATAAAACAGGTAATGGAGTATAGAATTTCAAGTGAAAATTGATCATCTTTATTTGTAAATGAATTGAAATTTGAGCAATGAAGTAGTTATTAATATTGAAATTCTGAACATAAAAGAGGAGTTTGATTAGCTTATTCAGACTGAGTTAAATTTAATGCTACTGAAACTCTTGATTTGAACATATTTTAATGTTAAGATATTGAAACAAAAGGATCGGACACAAGTTCTTAAAAATTAGAACCGTTGTGTCCTCTCCTTTATGACAATGAATTACACAAAATAATGTTCAAAAATTAAATACACTGGAACCAAAGGTCAATATGATTATCTGCTTACATAGACAGTGCATGTACAAAAAATAATTTTATATGAAGCTCTTGATGATGAGTTTCTCATTTCCAAACAGGGGCTTTGAATATATTTAAAAAGGCACATGTAAGAAAAACATGTTAAGAAATAAGTAAAAGATAGCTTGAGAGGCCTTTTTGATTTTACAATTAACGCTGTACAGTTAAGAAATGTTATATGTATCTATCTCAAGACATTCAAACTGTACTGGACCTGAAGAATATTTTTATACTCATTTAAATTATAGAATTTGCATAAAAGTAATTTGGAAGCATAATTTAAATCGGGAATGTCTGTGCTCTACAGATGAAATACTCAGACTAGATTTGTTGACTATCTAGTTAAATAAAATAAGGAAATGCTAAGTTATATGTGTAATTTGAATTTTTATAGGAAAACATTGACATATGTAATTGTTATAAAATTCAAAAATATGAACTCTCATTTCCTATTTCATGTATTTATTTCTTGATGAAGGTTTTCAACATATCTTAAACAAAGATTTCATACAAAACTTTATAAATTACCTTTCTAAAAAAATGCTGATGTAGTAAATGTAACAACTGCACAAATTAATACAAACTGAAATAAATCGTCATCAAAATTGATGATGCCATCTGAAAGAGAATGCTAAAGATATAAGTACCAGCATTAGCTCTTTCGTATAGTATTCCTGATAAGTCATTTACTGCCGATACAAACATTTTGATGAATGTGTCCTTAGTAACTATTCAAAAATGTTTCTCGTGAATTAGATGAACACTATCTTGATTTAAAAGATGTGAGATATTGTTTTGAAATTCTGTCACGAAAAGTTTCCATTGGACGTGATATGATTGAGTGGTTCTTGCTCCATGCCGCCTGAAGATGTCTCTGTAGAATTAGATTTCAAATATTTAATTGTGCCAAATACTGTTAATATTTTTTTTCCAGAGTTTATTTAAGATACTAAATATAAAAAAAAAAAAAAAAAAGAAATATAATCTGAAAAAAAATATATAAACATAGATGTACCTGGTTTTCTTCTTCCTTTTGCACATCTGAACAGATATATCACAAATCCTACTAATACCGCTAGGAAAACACTACTGATGCAAACAAATATGATTACACTGTCCGCCCTGCAAAACACAAGATTGAATATTGCAATTTAATTTACAATCTCTCTCTCTCTATAAAATATTATTTTTTGTGTCACTGAGTGCCAGTGGAAATGCAATACTCACGACACAAACTCCCTTCCCTCCTTCATCTCTAAATTGATTTCTAAAGCAGTTTTGTTCAAGTCTGATTTATAGAGTTTATTTAATTGGATCCCATGGTTAAATTTTTTTAGAGCAACACAATCTGAATCTGAAACGAGAAAGCATGAATTTATACAAACTAACATTTATCAGAAGCTATGAACACTTCTGCTGAGACTGTTCCTAAAACTGTGAATTCAAAATAAAATACTGATCAATAAGTTAAAATAAAACAATTGAACTTTTATAATTGCATAAAAGAACATTACATTTATAGGACATCCATGACTTGTATCTGCTTGGACAAGGCTCTGCGAAGTTTTTACAATCTGCATTATAGTTGTCTTGTATTCTTTCCCCCTGAAAATTATACTCTGGACAATATCCTGTTCACAAAAATAGACAAAATTAAACCAATTATCGAATAACAGCGCTGTTTTAAACCTTATCAAAGAATTTTAGTTCTTTTTGATTTGTATTTTTCGTGTAAATAACAAAATTTAAGTTTTAACGTTTATTTCAAAAATGATTGTTTCCACAAAAGATTATTTACTCTTACAACAATTACAATACTTAATAGGTAGAGAGATAAAATGTAATATATTACGAGAAAGTTTTGTCAATTCCAAAAACATTGAAATCTTACTGTGCAGTACTTACCCAAAAGATATAAACCAGGTGCACAAACTTCAACAGTTTGATTCATGAACGCATTTGATACACAGTGGTATCTAAAATTCTCTGGACTGGTACAGTTCTGAGGAATACTTGAACAGTTTTTCCTTTCTGTGGCTTCCATCCATGACTTCTCCGTACTAGGACATCTTGAAAAGGACAGGGTTATTTTCGTTGCGGGACAGTTCTGGAACGCTGTTGTCTTGAAAATAGATGTACATGTATATGGAACTTAGTTCAGATGATATATGTAGGTAAATAAGCCAGTAGGTAATTTTTTTTTTTTTTGAAGTCGGCATTATGTACATAAAGAAGAAGTAACATTAGTTTTTTTTAGAGCTCTGAACCAATTGCATTATATAACAAAAGTCCAGCATGCAAAACACATGTATACATATTGCGCATAGTAAATAAATAGGATAATTGCCTAATGATTAATTAAAAAAAAAACCGAAAAAACAAAGAAACAGAATATGATAATTAAGCATTTAGTCTAGATTAAACCATAGAAGTCAAATTAAAAGCACTTATTTTGGTGATTGACTTAAATATTCCATCAGAAAAAATGACCTAAATTAAAACTAAAATAATGTAAAATCCTTAACAGCACACATCCTTGTAATCGGATCAATCCCTATCAACATTGACAAGATTTGTATTGTAAAGCGAATTATATGGGGGTGGTGTTGGGGGGAGGAGCGGTTGAGTAACATAAATAAAACAAGAATAAAAAGAAACGAGGATCCTAGTGAGCTTATATTTTTATCATCATGGGATGTTACTTTCAGCCCCAGGATTCCTTTTGTTTGAAAACAAAGAAATTAATAAAGTTAAACATAGACAGAGTTAAAAATGATTACAGTAGAAAACTAAAGAAAAAGAGATATCATCAAGAGGTTAAATAAGCTATTGGTATTGATGGAAAATATTTGTAGGAACTCTCTTTAAATCTATTGTTAAATTATCAGTATTATTTTCCTTCTGACGTATACACTCTTGACAACGTGTTTTATAGATAAATGAGGACGGATTTAATTTCTTTTTAATTGCTAGAACAGAATCTATGCTTATATTGAATAAATGCTGTTGATCGAAGTAAGAATTTAGTACATACATGTACAATGTAATATTGACTCTAACAAAATTCCCCTTTTCTAAATATAGCATGATCTGCTTACTGAGACGTGTTACCTTTTATATTTCTAATACTGAAACGGTCTGAAGATTGTTTTTCGTAAGATGTTTTTATTAAAATTTATATATACTATTTACTTACTATTTACTTATAAGTAAATTATATACGGTACCAATTTTGAGACACGAGATGCGCATTTCGACAAATTATGTCTCTTCAGTGATGTTCAAGCCGAAACGTTGAAAATTTATACAAAATGTTTAAATGAAAAAGACTTGGAAGAGCTGAAAAAGGTGCAGAAGATTGGAGCCAAATACGTCGAAGGATCAAAGCTATGCTTGAGGGAGATACTCCTTAATTTTGAAAAAAAAAAAAACAATCTGAAAAAGTAGAGTACCATGAAAAGATTGTAATGTTTTTAAAGGTATATTTATGATGTGAATAACCAAGTACAAAATTAAAAACATTAGACGGAAAATGACTATAAACCAGCAGTACTGTACATAATGAAAACCAAAATAATAACAGTAATATTTGAATGTAAAAATAATAACTTAAAGTTGCATGAAAAAAGAATAAAATCTTTGATATTACGCAATCTCTTTTCGGGTTCCCCCTTTACCAAAAATAGACTTCAAAATAATGTTCAAAAGATTCATTAATTTGAATATTTCTGTGATGAGATTCTATGATGTAGACATAAACTTTATGAAATAAGATATAAAGTTTATCTACAAATTATTTTCAATCAGTTCATGGTAGCCGCTAAATTAAAAATTATTTCAAAAGAAGCGCATGAACATCTTTTAATACAATATCGATCCGAAATATGCTTCTATAATTTTAAGAACTGAATTCGGACTCATCGAAGAAAGAAGAGTTAAAAGTAAAGTTACTTACACATATAGTCTCAATAGGTAAAACGAACAGAAAGAATATAAGAGTGTCCATAGTTGTTTGCTCTTCAAATGTACTGTATCGAGTATGGTGCATTTCATTAAATGACTGATAAACCTATAAATAAAGGGGATTACAGTGTAGGTCTATCGTGTGTATCGACGTGATATCAAAATTAATTATCAGATGTATTTTCCCCTGTCAATGATATTAAGTAAATGAAATCAAGTACATAATTTTTAGCTCTACTGGTCAAAGACGAGAAGAGCTTATGTATTAGTAGGTGTACGTCGTCTGTCTGTCTGTCCTACCGTCTGCAAACGATTCTTCAAAACGCTACTCCTCCTACAGTTTTGTTCCTATTTCAATCTTATCGGTTTCTGACTTCGATAAACGCTATTGCCATGGTAAATGAAAATAGAAATCCCGTTAAAATCATTTCATAACACTACTTCTCCACAGTTTGTGTCAATTTTAACAAGACTTGGTACACAAGTAGATAATACTACGATAAATAATTCTGTTTATCGGTGTTTGATTTTGGCAAACGATGTTGTCCTGGCCCCTGGATCATGAAAAACATCTTAAGCTTAAGTCAAAATCTTTATGTTCTATTTAATTTTTGTAAAAGTCAAGCAGAGCAAAGTGAATTTTTTTCAAAATTGCTTTACAAAAGTGTTGTTATATGCAAATTTAGAGAATAATGCAATAATTGATAAACATTTTACAGGTGATTGAAAATTTGACTCTAAAAGTCTAAGTTTGTTTCATGATCCTGGGGCTTGGTTATTAAAAATAAAAATTTCTATGAAATTCTTACAAGATGCTACTCCTCCTATTGCTTATCCAATTTCAAAAAGAAATGATACACACGTAGACTATACAACGATACTAAGATACATATTTTTTATGTGTTTTACTGGTGTAATTAAAAATGATAAACAAATAAAAATATTTACAAGAAGTACATAAGGAAAAAGGATTACAGTTTAAATTTTTTTGTCACTTTTTCACTTGGAATATTTTAAACTAATTTTAAGATTTCTATTTCATGCATATTTATGTCTTTTGAAATTGCTAACAATATTCCGAATAATATTTCTAATAATCTAGATATATACAAATGTAATTGAAAGAGTGTGTGTAAAAACTGTGTTGGAGATATTCATGGTAATTTAATAATGTATAGTGCTTCGAATATGCCGAAAATCCAGATCCAGTCTGAAGGGAATTCAATTTACCTTTAAATCTGTCTTAAGGATGGATTCTTGTCAGCATTTTACGTCGTCAATGGGTCTCCATAAATTATGCAAGTCGTAAAATGCAAAATTCATATTTAATCGCACTGAAGGAGAAACTATTAGTTAATTTATTAGTTTAAGCAATGAAGAATGTATTTCTATTTAAATAAATAAATATTTCGTAAAATTTTCTTTGATTTGCGACAATGGCCATAAAATTCTCAGTTCGGTAGCGAATGTCAACATGTCCAGATCATTTCCCGTAGAAAACCCTGAGAGGGTCGTTTTTAAAATCTACAAACTGTGAACATTATCGAAGCATTGCAGAAACCCAGGGACAGTTATGACAATTTATAAATCATAGTTATTTATGCCCGGGGGCATTCCGATCAGCCAAAGGAAAGTTTGAACTTGAAGGTCACAATATTAAACACCTGCGAGATATTGCAGATCCACGTTGCCTCGTCTGATGTCATGTCATGTGCAGTGAGCATGTAAGTTAGTTATATATGTCTGAAGATTTTTATAATTTTGAAATTGAATTACATGCTGATTTTCATTGATTTATGGGAATTCGCACGGGAATTATAGATTTGTTATCAATATATTTCGTCTGCATTCCCGCGACTTGTCAACATTTGAAGAGCATATAATTATTATTTTCCTGTGTTCGTCAGTTTTATGAATAACAATTCACAAAAATAGCATTTTTGTATATGATTACAACAAATTTTATCTCTAACTAGCCTAATTTGTTTAAGACACAACAATCATCAAGTTATTAGAAAAGTAAGGTGTTCCGCTTGGGTACAAATCAAACGGAAAAAATAACTTGATATCGTATGTGGAAATATCAATAATATTGAAACATAAAATTGTCAAATAAATTGAGCAAAATGAAACATAATTGTTCAAAAACTATTCATATTATTGTTTTTTCCTTTTCTGTATTTTTAGGATAAAAAAATGTTTATTTATTTATGTCTAATACACTATAATATAAGATGTTATATATACATGTGGTAGAATCTATTAAAATATTTTCATTCATTTAAGTCAATAAATGCAGATGAGATTAGTTGTTTAATCTTATAATCAATTTCCATTAATTAAAAAAAAATAATCTAAAGGATGTTCATGTTGAATTCTTAGGAGAAAAACAACCCTGCTTTACCCTTGACTAGAAAAAAGATTGGAGGTCAGAATGCAGGATGATTGAGCAAGGGGTGTTGGCAGATGGACTATTGAGGTACATGTATAAGAAATATGGACACAACTTTATCTAACTATCACATAATGCAGCATCTGTGGTGCTATGTAAAATATATTACTTTTTTTAAATTATAGGTCAACAAGGCCAAGAACCAAGGGATCAACATCTCCAACAACCTATCATGGAACCACCATATCAATAGTGTTTGTAAGAAGGCCAACAGCA